TCCTCTCCTGCGCTGTCCCTTCATCCTCCCAAGCACGACGTCCCTCTCCAAGGACTGGTCCCTCCTTGCAACATGTCCAAAGTATGTCAGATGAAGCTTCAGAATCCTTGCCTCCAAGGAGCAGCCTGGCTTCACCCTCTCCAGGACAAATCTGTTTGTTTCCCTAGCAATCCATGGTATATTCAATACTTTTCTCCGAAAAGCAAAGGCACCAATTCCGCTTCTATCATCCCTAGTTATTGTCCAGGTCTCTTATGCATAGCAAGTGATTGCAAAGACCGTGGCATGTATCAGGCGCACCTTAGTCTCCAGACTGACATCTTTGCACTTCAGGACTTTAGAGAGGTCTCTAACCACAGACTTTCCCATTGCAATACGTCTTTTAATTTCCTGGCTGCTGGTACCAAGAGTGTTGACTGTGGATCCGAGCAAACCAAAACTTTGAACACTCTCAATCTCTTCACCATCCATTATGATGCTGCCAATCAGCCCAGTGGTGAGAATCTTTGCTTTCTTGATATTGAGTCACAATCCATACTGAAGACTTCAGTCCCTGACCTTCCACAGCAAGCACTTTAGGTCCTCCTCAGTTTCAGCAAGCAGGGTTGTGTCATCTGCGTAACACAGATTGTTGATGATTCTTCCTCCAATCCTGATGCCACATTTCTCCTCATAGAGTCCAGCCTCCTGGATAACCTGTTCCGCATAAAGATTGAAAAGGTTTGGAGACAGGATACAACCCTGGCATACACCCTTCCCAATTTTGAACCATGTAGTCTTTCCTTTTTCTGTTCTGACGACTGCCTCCTGGTGCAAGTATAGGTTTCACATCAGCACAATCAAGTATTTTGGGATTCCTATTCTTCTCAGAGTTTGTTATGATCCACACAGTCAAATGCCTTTGTGTAATCAATGAAACTGAGATAAGACATTCTTCTGGTACTACTTGCTTTCAGTCAAGATCCATCTAACATTGGCTACAATATCCCTAGTACCATGGCCCTGTCTTTTTTTTTTTTTTTACCATGGCCCTGTCTAAACCTAGCCTGCACTTGTAGTTCTCTGTTGATGTGCTGTTCCAGTTGTTTTTGGATAATCTTCAGCAAAATCTTGCTTGCATGAGATATTCATGATATTGTTCGATAATTTCCAGACTCTGTGGGATCACCTTTCTAGGTGATTAGTTAGTTGGCCAGGTGGTTGTTCTCCAGATTTCTTGACACAACTTGGTGAGCACATCTAGAGCAGCATATGTTAGTTGAAATATATTATTTGGTATACCATCAATTCCTGGGGCCTTATTCTTAGCCAATTCTTTCAAAGCAGTCTGAACCTCTTCCTTTATCACCATAGGCTCTTGCTCATATTTTGTTTCATTAAATTCTTCTGTGTCTGCTAATTCCTTTTGGTATAATGACTCTATATACTCTTTCCATCTTCTTTTTATACTTGCAGGATCACTTAATATTCTGCCTAAATAATCCTTAAGTATTGCAACTCGAGGCTTGAATTTCCTCTTCAGTTCCCTGAGCTTAAGAAATGTTGAGTGAGTTCAGACTCTTTGATTTTCTGACTCCAGCTCTTTGCACATTTCATTATAATACTTTAGTTTGTCTTGTGGTGCAGCCTTTTGAAATCTCCTGTTCAGCTCCTTAATGTCTTGATTTCTTCCTTCTGCTTTGGCTTCTCGGCTCTTCAGTGCAATATTCAGAGTCTCTTCTGACATCCATTTTGGTATTTTTCTTCCTCCTCCGTCTTTGCAATGACCATTTGCACTCTTCCTGGATAATATTCTTGATATCTTCCCATAACTCCTCTGGTCTTCGCTCATTAGTGTTCAAGGCCTCAAACCTCTTCCTGAGATGGTTCTGAAATTCAGGTGGGATAGACTCAAGGTCATATTTTGGCTCCTGTGGGCTTGATTTCACTTTGCTTAGCTTCAGCTTAAACTTGCATATGAGAAGTTGGTGATCTGTTCCACAATCAGCACCAGGCCTAGTGTTAATAGCTGATATTGAGGTTCTCCAGCGGTTCTTTCCGCAGATGTATAGCCTGCGTTTATGTTTCTTATAAAAGGTATTTTGCAATGAATAAATTGTTGATTGTGCAAAATTCTATCATCCTATCTCCAGCTTCATTTCTGTCACCAAGTCCATGCTTTCCAACTACTGAGCCTTCTTCTCTGTTCCCAACTTTCGCATTCCAGTCACTCATCACTATTAATGCATCTTGGTTGCATGTTCGATCGATCTCTAAGTGCAAAAGTTGGTAGAAATCATCTATTTCCTCTTCTTTGGCTCTGGTTGGTGGTGCATATATTTGAATGATTGTGGTATTCACTGGATTTCCTTGTATACATATGATATTATCCTGTCACTCACAATATTGTATTTCAAGACAGATCTAGAAATGACTTTTTTTAACTATGAAAGCAACCCCATTTCCCCTCATGTTTTCATCTCCAGCATAATAGATCATATGATTATCTGATTCAAAATGTCCCATGCCATCTCATCTTGTCAAAACCTAGTATGTCGATATTTATGCGTTCCATTTCTTCATATCTAGTTTTCCTACATTCATAGTTTTCACATTCCATGTTCCAACCACTAGTGTCTGCTTACAACTATTCCTCCTCCTTAATATTTCCATATGTGAAAGTTCCACATCTGTTGCCCTATCTGCTAGTCTAAGTGTGTTCTATTGTACATAGGGTTTTCAAAGGCCTGCTATTTCGGAAGTGGATGGCCAATCCTTCTTCCTAGTCTGTCTTAATCTGTATGCTCACATTTAAAAATATCTGACAGACAAGCATTTTACGGAAGAATGCAGATGATATATCTTTCCCAATTGTAGAAATAGCCAATAGTTTTAGTTTTATCCCTGCCCTTGACATGAGTCTCTTAACCCACCCCTTTCCCTGCTCCACCAGTATTTCCTTCTACTCCCACCTATTCTCTTCAACACCTATCTCCTGCTATACATCCCGTGACCTGATAGCTTGTATCTCAAGCTTTGTGGGTTTCTGTGATTCCAAATTCTTCAAGATGTTGTCGATTTCTTATGCTATGATCATTGTCCTTTGAGTTTAGGGGCCTGTAAGTCCAAATATAAAGCTCTAATGATAGGGAAACCTTATTTCAGATGATTCTGAAGAAAAGTCCTTTCCCTTTAATTTCTCCTCCAACTTTAACTTCTTGTGGCTTGGGCATCTTCATTTACAACACACTGTGGTCACAATGTTTCCCAAGGGAGGATGATCTGTCCTGTTGATCTTGTATATATTGTTCTACCTGTTTGGATGGTGGGAGAAAAGCAGAGTTCTCCAGTTTCCACTCGTCTTTCTGCTCTGCTGAACTTCTCTCTCACTTGGCGTTCAGCTCTCAGCCTTCCCTTTGGGACTCCAGGGACCACTTTGTTCCATGTGCGTGCTCCTGGGACAGGCTATCTGTTTGGATGGTGGGCCAAAAACAGAGTTCCCCAGTTCCCGCTACTCTTCCTGGCTCCACTGTTAACTATGCAAAGGCATTTTACTATGTGGATTGTGACAAATTATGGCTAATATTGAGAAAACTGAGACTCCTAAAACATTTATTTGTACACATGTCAACCAAGAGACTATTGTACAAATAGAGCAAGGGAACACCACATGGTTTAAAATAATGAAATATGTATGGCTGGGCTGGATCCTTTCTCCATACCTACTTAATTTGTGTGCTGTACAGATTCCAGGGCAATAGTCTTAGGGCATTCTCTAGTGTCAACTGATTCAGAAGTCTGGACTTTTTAAGAATTTTAGTTTAGTTCCATACTTTTCTCCCTTTTTATCAGGATCTATTTATTCTGGTCCAGGATCAAAACAACTGTAAAGGAAATCGGAGTCTTAAGACTCATTCTTTGGTCAGTTAGACGATCAGGTATGAGTCAGTTCTGACTCGTTGGCACATAACAACTACAACAGTATATAAAGCCACAAATATAGATAACATAAACCTATAGAAATGGGAAAGCATGTTACATTTCAGAAATAAGACAACCTAGAATTTAATGTTATGGAAATACTTAAGAAAATAAGAAAGGATCCAAATGAAGGGACCTATAAGGGAGGAAGATAGTAAGATATGAGGAAAAGGACACAAGAGGAGAAGGTGGTATCCTTGAACCTAAAGATAATTTTAAAGAAGGGAAATGTGATCAACAATGTTGATTGCTTCATAGTAGTAGTACTTAACTGCAAGCTTCCTTTTGGGGAATTAGTAGTAGTTACTTTTCTGAGAGCAGTTTTAGTGGTGAATTACTAACAGAAGCTAATCTGGGTAGTCTAGTTAAATTGCATTGAACTGAGGTGTATGTAGGAGCCTCTGAGTGATTAAATCGTTAAATGCTCAACTACTTACAATAAGGTAGGTACCTGGAATCCCCCTAAAGAAGCCTAAGAAGAAAGAGCTGGCAATGTTCCAAAAGGTCACAGCTTTGAAAAACCCCAACACACTTCTACTTTGTAACATGATAGTGTTGCCATGAGTTGGAATCAATTCAGTGGGATCTAGTCTAGTTTGGTATTTAGAGGAGTAGATGTAAGAAGAGTGATACCGAGAAGAGTACAATAAATATAGAATATGACACTAGAGAAAGTTTAGGTTGGACTCCTTTCAGTCAGTTATTTTATTTTAGTAAAGGTACTTCATATTTAGTAAAAAATTGCATATATGTAAAAAAGAAAAACATGGTCTTTATGCCTTGGACTGGAAAATTTTTCTGGAAAGGGCAAGATAGTAAATGTTTTAGGCTTTGAGGGCCAACTATAAAGTGATTAAACTCTGCTGTTACAGGAGAAAATCAGCCATAGATAATTTATAGCAAATGAGTGTGACCAGGGTCCTATTGTTATTTACAAAAAGAAGTGCTCTATATTTGACTTGAGGATAATTTTTTTTTGATGGATGCTTTATATATCTCCAAAAAATAACTTTCATAATTTTCTCGCTTTTTATATTCAGATTGTTTTTAGCAGATGATTTTATGGTCTATTTGTATGACCAAGGATCTGTAAGTTCTCATTCTTCAAATATTCAGGTAAGATTTATTTTATATTTTGCAAATGTTTAAAACACCTTCCTATATATTTTGAATGCTTTTCTAATACAGAATCAAGTTTTTAAAAAAACCACAAAAATAACAACCAAAATAAACAAACCACCCCAAGGTTGTTATTGTTGATTCCAACTCAGTGTACCCGGTGTGTGAAAATAGAAGACTATTTTCTCCATAGCTAGACTCTCCTCGCTTAATGATAGATGTAGAATACAATAGATTTATTTAGCAATTTCTAAACTGCCTAGAATGTACGTGCCATGTATTTGCCATGAGTTGTGTCCCTCTGAAATATGTACATATAATGATACAATGTGAAAGCCACCGACCTGAGAAATTAAATAGTTATAGCAGAATTAAGTATGGAATGTAACAATGCCTAATCCCATCACAGCTCTCATTGGATAAAGGGGAGTTACTCTAGGATTTGTGTTATAATATTTTTTTATCTCATTAGAAATTAAGAGGAAGGTAAGCTAAAAAGTAGGGGACCCTAAATTACCATAAATAAATAACTTCTAGGACTGGATTGCATATTTTTTGATCCCGGATTCCTCCAGGACAAAGCTTCTTGATACAAGGAAAGACCAAAACACGTGGGAGTCTCCATGGAAAACACTGGATGCTGAAGGAAACAAAGACCTTTATCACCAATAAAGAATGGGCTTCGCCCTAGAACTAAAATCCTGAACTTGGACTTGTAGCTTCCTAAATGCAAGAGAATAAATGTCCGTGTATTAAAGTTACCCATCCACTTGTATCTGATATAGTTGTTGTGATATTTAGGTAGACTATAAGTCATGGTGACCCTATGAACAACAGATTTGAAGCTTGTCCTCTCTGTCTTAAACCATCCTCATCATCTCTGTTTTGTTCAAGCTATTTGTTAAAGTCATTATGTCAGTCCATCTTGTTCAGGGTTTTCCTCTTCTTCTCTGGCCCTTCATCTTTCTTAACACGATTTCCTTTTCCAAGAACTGGTCCCTCCTGACAACATGCCCAAAGAAAGTGAGACAAAGAACGTCAGGAGTATCTTGGTTGCACTTCCTCCAAAATAGAAGTGTTTGCTCTTTAGACAGTTTATGAGATATTCCATAGCCTTCCAAAACATCACAGTTTAAAGACCTCAATTATTCTGGCATCCTTATCATTGCTCAACTTTCAAATGCAAAGGAAGTAATTGAAAAGACCATGGACCTTATTCAGGTGGACCTTATTCTTTAAACATCATTCCTCTTTAGCACTTTGGAGAGGTCTTTGTTAGCAGATTATTTTTCTACTCCAACATGTCTTATGATTTTTTGTGTGTTTATCAAGAGGGTGTTGATTGTGGATCTAAGTAAAATGAAATTGTTGACAACTTTAATCTTTTCTGCATCTGTCATGTTGTTGTCTATTGGCCCAGTGGTGAGGATTTTTGTTTTCTTGATATTGAAAAGTAACTCACATTGAAGGCTGTAGTCTTGCATCTTCTTCAGCAAGTGTTTCAAGTCCTCTTCACTTTCTGCCAACAAGGTTGTGCCATCTGCCTAAAGGAGGGTTAATGACTCTTCCTCCACTTCTGATGACACATTCTTCATCTTATTGCCCAGCTTCTCTATGATTTCTTCTCTATGATTTCTCAACTTTCATATTGAATTGATGTGGACAAAAGCTACAACACTGATGCACATCTTTCCTGATTTTTTTCTTTCTTTTTTTTAATTGAAATTTTAATGAAAGTTTATAGAGACTTTGGATTTCCATTCATTCATTCTTGCACATTTTCCTCCCTGCCCACCCCTCTCTTCAGTTGGTTTTTCTCTTTGAAAAGTAAAAAAAAACCCACAAACAGTTCCCCACCCCAGTCCACTTCCCCATGCAGCTCTAATTTTGGACTCTTGTCATAAAAATAATACCTAATCATATATTACTTTCAAACAGTTCTCTTCCTTCTTTTCTTAGATCCAACCTCAATATCAGTTCTGCTTTACAACAGTGACATTATGCAGTATTTGTCCCTTTGTGACTGAGATATTTCATTCAGCATGATCGATCAGCATGTCCCCCAGCATCACCGATTTTACATAATATTTCATGAGTTCCTTGTTTTTCAGTGCTCTATAGTATTCCATTGTGTGAATATACCACAGCCTCTCTGTACATTTGCTTGTTGATGAGCACTTGGGTTGTTTCTAACTCTTTGCTATTGTGAATAAAGCTGCAATAAACATAGTTATGCATATATTTGCTTGGGTGGCAGTTATGGTTTCTTTAAGGTATATTCCCAGTAGTGGAATTGCTGGGTCAAATGGTATTTCTATTTCCAACTTTTTGAGAAAGCACCACATTACCTTCCACAGTGGTTGCACCATTTTACACTTTCACCAACAGTGAATTAGGGGTTCAATCTCTCTACAACATTACCAGCATTTGTTGTTTGCTGTTCTGTTGAATTTTGCTATTCTTACTGGGATTAAATGGTATCTCATAGTTGTTTTGATTTGCATCTCTCTTAGAACTAGGGATTTTGAACATTTCTTCATGTATTTGTTGGCCATCTGAATGTCTTCTTTAGTGAAGTATCTGTTCATATCCTGTGCCCATTTTGTAATTGGGTTGTTTACATGCATTTTATTGTGATGCTTGAATATTCTAGAAATTCTAGATATAAGTCCCTTATCAGACATGTCATTACAAAATATTTATTCCCAGTCCGTGGCTTCCCTTTTACCCTGTTGGAGAAGGTGTTGGATGTGCATAGGTATTTGATTCTTAGAAGGTCCCATTCATCTATTTTATCTTCTGCTGGATGTAGGTTTTTCAGGGTGCTTGGAAGACTGTTAATGCTGTGGATTAGGGCTTCTGGAGTTGTTCCAAGCTTTTCTTTTATGAAAATTAACCAAGTCCTTGGTTTTAGTCCTAGGTTCATGATCGACTTTGAGTTGGTTTTTGTGTATGGAGTGAGGTGTGGATCTGCTTGAGTCTTCTACAGATAGTTTTCCAATTTTGCCAACACTATTTGTTAAAAAGGCCATTGTTTCCCCACTTAACTGATTTTGTCTCCTTATCAGAAATTAGTTGACTGTATAGGTAGATTGGCTGATTTTTGGGTTCTCAATTCTATTCCATTGATCTATGTGTCTGTCATTGTACCAGTATCACAAAGTCTTGACCACCATGGTAATGTAGTAAGATTTGAAATCAGGGAGAGAGATGCCTCCTACCTTATTTATCTTTTTAAGGAGTGCTTTGCTTATTTGGGGCTTCTTTCCATTCCAAATGAAATTGGAGATTGCCTTTTCCATCTCGTTGAGAAATGGTATTGGTATTTGTATTGGGATTGCATTGAACATGTAAATTGCCTTTGATAGTATTATCATTTTCACAATATTGAGTCTTCCTATTCATGAGCAAGGGATAGTCTTCCTTTTCTTCAGGTCTCTTTTTGTTTCTTGTAGTAATGTTTTGTAATTTTCTTTGAATAGATCTTTTGTGCTTCTGGTTAGATTTACCCCCAAGTATGTAATCTTGTGATTAGCTATTGTGATGGATATTGTTTTTCTTAGCAACAATTCTGTATTCTTTTTGTCACTGTAGAGAATTTCAATTGACTTTTGTATGTTGATCTTGAATCCTACCACTTTGCTGAATTGGTCAGCTATGCCCAGTAGTTTTCTTGCTGAGTTTTTAGGTTTTTCTAAGTATACTACCATATCATCTGCATTAGAGATAATTTTACTTCCTCTTTGCCAGTTTGGATACCTCTTATTGTCTTGTCTCATTGCTATTGATAAGACTTCCAATATAATATTGAATAGGAGAGGTGATAATGGGCATCCTTGACTAGTTCCTGTTCTCAAAAGGAATGCCTTTAATCTCTCTCCATTGAGAACAATGTTGGCTCTCAGGTTTGCATAAATACTTTTTATTATGTTGATGAAATTCCCCTCTAATCCTATTTTGTTGAGTGTTTTAATCAGGAAACTGTGTTGGATTTTGTTAAAGGCCTTTTCTGCATCAATTGATAGGATCATGTGGTTTTTGTTTTGTTAATGTGATTAATTATGCTGATTATTTTTCTTATGTTGAACCATCCTCGCATACCTGTTATTAATCCCACTTGGTTATGGCATTGTTGAATTGTGTGTGTGTGTGTGTGTGTGTGTGTGTGTGTGTGTGTGTGTATTGTTGGATTCTATTTGCCAGGATTTTATTCCGGATTTTTGCATCTATGTTCATGAGAGATATTGGCCTGTAATTTTCTATTTTGGTGGTATCTTAACCTGACTTTGGTTTTAAGGAAATGTTTGCTTCATAGAATGAGTCTCAGAGAATTCCATCTTTTTCTACTTTCTGAAATAGTTTACATAGAATTGGTGACACTTTTTCTCTGAATATTTGATAAAATCCACTTGTAAAACCATCTGGTCCAGGGGTTTTTTTGGCTGGAAGTTGTTTTATTACCTTTTCAATTTCTTCTTTTATAATGAGTCTGTTCAGGAGTTCAATTTTGGTTTGTGTCAGCTTAGGGAGGTTGTGAATTTGTAAGTATTTGTCCATTTCCTCTAGGTTTTCATATTTGTTTCAGTATAGTTTTTCCATAATATTTCATTGTTAGCCTTTTTATTTTAGTTGATTCTGTTGTGTTATTTCCTTTTTCATCTTTTATTTGGATTATTAGTACCTTTTGCTTTGTTAATTTTGCTAGGGGTCTGCCGATTTTATTGACCTTTTCAAAGAACCAACTCCTAGTTTTGTTGATGTTTTCAGTTGTTTTTCTAGTTTCTATTTCATTTATTTCTGCCCCAATTTTTATAATTGCATTTTTTTAGAGGGTGTCACGTTTTCTTGCTGTTCTTTTTAAATTTGTTGGAGATGTTGCATTAGAGAGTCAATGGTCATTTTTTCCCCTGCCTTTTGATGTGTTTGCTTATTGCTATGGTCATTTTTTTCACTGCCTTTTGATGTGTTTGCTTATTGCTATAAATTGACCTCTGATT